GTAGCTGAGTCCTTGCCTTATTAGCAAATGAATTTGGTGACTTGAACATCCTCTGTAATAAGAAAAGGCTAATCAGATGAGAGACAAGTACCATATCTACAATCGCATGTAAAGCCAATTAACGCAGAAATGGGGTTGCCATACGCAAGGAATAGAAATTACATCATTCAATACAACGCATTGAACCCAAAAAATAAATAAATAAAATAATAAAAAATCATAGTGGAAACTGACCTTTTCTGCACTTGATATTCGATGTTCGCCGTCCAAGAGAAATTTTTTCTTTGGAGTGAACCCAAAGACATCATGGAGGAATTCATTCTCCTATTACAGGAAATAATGAGAATATTAGAATATGCTAGAAGTCACAGGAATAATAACCACAGATTAATAATAAATCAAACTTTAAAAAAATACGTTCGTTGGCATACAAAAGGCAAAGAAACTAACCTGCATGTGCTTAACAAATCCTCCTCCAAGATAGTGCTTCAAGAAGTTCAACTGTACAAATTTAAAAATTTAGTGAACCAAACAAAAATAAAAGTTATACCATTGTCAGACAAGTACAACAAAAAGATAAATAAACCTGAATCAGTTTGGACCACGTTGAAGTCTGCAACAAATCTCCTCCAATCTTAATTGAAGTTTCAGGACAATAGCCATCCTAAATTTACAGAACCGATAATCAAATAAGCCTAAAAACAAAAAGGACCCGAAAATCAACAAATTTATAGAAGCAATAAAGATATAATGTACCTCGAGAAACTCCAAAATATCTCGAAATGTATTCCGTTGGAAGTTGAGATCTTTTTTAGCAGAACCCTTACCACCAGCTTCCACCGAGAGGCTTTTCACTTGATTCAAGATTTTTCCCTTCAATCCCTGTATATGTACATACCAATCCCGCAGTTTACTTCCCTCTAGGACGGAGCCGTCAGTCAATCCTTTAGCTTCAGCAGAAAACTTCTCCAAAACGCCCATCTCAAAAACCAATGCAAGTGCTTCACCAGCAGCAATGCGTACAGCACGGTCCTCCTTGTCCAGGAGACTTGATAAATATGAAATTGACCTGTATATGTGCAATATAATGATTTCCTTCAATTATTACATCATTCGATAATCAGAAACAATGAGAACTTATATTAATCACAGAAAATAACAAAGTAAGGGCAGGGGATCAGAACCCTTCAAATTCTCTTTAGAAAGAAACCGTATTGCCCCATCACGGGGGCAAGAACGCGCATCATAATGTCAGATGACAAAATAAATAATAAATTTATATACAACTATGACCGTTTCTTTACTTTTTTTTTTTTTAATATCTGTGAGTATCCGGACCAGCTTATGCGCACCTCGACTAATCTATGTTTCTTTACACATTTATTTACCAATTTTTTATGTACATATCTATTTACCATTTCAACACAATCAACCCCAATGATGTCCTTATTCCAACCACCTACAAATTCATTTTGATGATTCATTATTTCATACCTACACGTGCAAAATTATGTCTTCAACCACCTACAAATGATGTCCTAGACATGCAATTACCATTTTAACACAAAACCTCAATGATGCCCTTATTCCAACCACCTACAAATTCATTGGATGGTTCGTTATTCATACCTAGACATGCAAATTGTCTTTAACCCATTAACAAACACACTCAAATCAACTAATCAAAAAAGCAGAAAGAGGAAGCTGAATAATAACAAGCTCACTCTTGCCAATCTTTGGAATTAAGCTTCAACGCATCCGTAGTTGTAAGGACAAAGGACCATGCAGACACCACGGCTGTTATGACAGCTGCTGATTGCCTGACCGCGACTACCTATCAAATTTGAAGAACAATGAGAAAAATAGAGATCCATTTACTGGATGGTAAAAACTGTAAATATAAAACTTTGCACAGGATAACGAATTCGTAACACTAAACAGAGATTTAAAAAATTAGGGGAAGATAAAATGATATCAAGAGACATAAGGGAATACATTTGGTCCTAGTTTAGGATTGACAACTTGCCACATGAGCTGCAATGATCGTTCAGTTTCCTCCAGGTCATTCCCACCAACAAAAGTGATAATTGCCAAGCATTCGAGCAGCTATATAAAACAGATCACTCCAAGCATCAGTTGAATGAAAATCATATAGTTACTGTAAAGTTATAAGTAAATTTAGATTACAAATATATATCAAATACCGATATCTTTGAGGACTCTGGGCCAGATTTAAGAGCTTGAGAAATGGAGGGAACTGATTCTGACAATATTTCCCGAGCATTGTCGCCATAACCCACAGTTAAAGCCAATAATCCTACAGCTCATATATGATCATAAAATTAATTGGCATATGGACAAATAGTAGTTGAAAAGGCTAATGTTATAAAACGCCTACCAATTGCATGAGAAGCCAATGATATTTCCTTGCTGGAACCCTTTTTGATAGAATTCAGACACTGATGAAGCAGGGTAGCAAACCTGAAAAATGTCACCACAGGCAGAATAAATGCAATTAATCAATATTCACGTTTTTTCTTCTTTTCTTCTTTTTTTGGCTCCAATAGAATCTAAGATATACATTATATGGAGATTTCATCAAAGATTCAAAAGGCACATCCTATTAAAAGGGGGAAATTATTTGTTTTACACTATACTTAGCTAAAGATTTAATTTGATCAAACTGAACCAAATGACGAAATGCTTGAATGATAATGATAATTTTATCACTTAGTCGAGTTGCTGTTTTTTAGAGATTTTCGGCCAGGTGCGCATTTTCTGCTAGATAGGGGCATATTGGACTCTTTTTACTGCTTGGTTTAGTGGCCATGTAAGTTCAAGGTTCAAAATTAAGATTTTCGCCTAAATTTTGGGTACTCAAAATTTTTGACTTCTAGATTGTCGAACTTAGTATGGCATTGCCATTGGACCATGTTATATGTTCATGGTCATGGCAACAAAATAGGCGACCGTGACATGAACCTTATTAAAGGTGTACAACACAGTAATTTTTGTGGCAAGTATGGGGCAGCCTCCTTGTGCCTCAATAACATTGGCCAAGATTGAGCATTCTTGTAGCTAAGTTTGGGGATTTATAAGAAATGATTATGAGTATTTTGTTGGTTGGGTTTTAGACTATCTATTAGTCAGTTTCTCTGGATAATATTTTAACTTGATTTTGAGAATGGTATTACTTCTCTCACTTATTAAGTTTGTTGCTTGATTTTTAAGGTTAAAATTGAGTACATCTATATTGGTGAAAAGGACTTCTTCCCCAAATAAAAATTCTTGACATGAATGAACATGAAATAGCTGTTTATCTTCCATTTTGAACAGTTCTATACTATGCAGTAAGACTACGTTCTGCTGGATCCACATAACTAATCAGATTTAACAATGAAAGTGAATGAAGCAAGTGTGAAATCGTTTACTTTCAAGAATAGGCCCAAGAAAAATAAAAGGCCAATCTCGGAATATGGTAACAGATCAATAGAGCTAAAGACTGCTTGAAATAAGAAAAACTTTCACGGAGAGAGAGGGTAAAGAAGTGCTTACTTCTTTTCCACAAACTGATGTTGCAAATTGTTGCTGAAATTTTCTATAATTGATGACAGCGCTTTCTCTCTTGTGGAACCCCTTCATTTCAGAAATTACACATACTTTAATTCAAAATAAAAGGAATTAACTAACAAGTTATAAACCACAATGGGGCAACTGCTGTGGCTACTGGCAACAAATTGCATTAATTTTCGTTCTAGGAGTAAAACAATTAGTAGAAATAATCATTCAAAAACTAAAAGAATACCTCTTCTCATATAAAGCATCAAGAGCTAGATCAAGTAAAGAATCTTTGTCAAATTGAATATCTTCAGTCCCTACAACAGACATACGATCGGACCGCATAGTCGATGATGAACTCACACTACTGTCGTCGTCGCTATCCACCGCAGGAGAATTTTTACGCTGAGATTTACCTGCCAAATAGGAACAATATCAGTACCAAACCTTTGCAATTTATACCTTGCACGGTTAGAAGTTAAAACTTGGTCGTGGCAATTATATAAAGATCCATGGATAATCATTAAGACAGGATGATATTTCCAAATTATAAGCCGCATAGTAAAACATGAACACTTCAGGGCGAAAAGTCAAACATCAAAAAATGAAAACCGAAGAGGAAAATAAACCAAAGGCGAGATAAATTTCGTTGATAAAACAACGAAAGTAGGCTCAATTATCGATCAAAGTACGGAAAAGAAAGAGACGAAACTCACGTCTTCCCATTTGTAAAGATCACGGCGGCTCGGCTCGTCCCACCAATTGACGTTAATTAGAACTACAAGGGTTCGTAAAAATCGAAGAAGGAAAAAGCTTCGGAAAGAAAAGACGAAGAGAATCTAAAGGAATTGAAACGAGAGTGGTGAAGCAGTTGGATGAATTATAGAAGCATGAAATCGCCATCAAAATTGTTGAAGATAGGAAAAGAGGGGAAAGTTTCAGAGAGAAACGAATTAGGGATTTTATAGAATGAAGAAATAGAAAAAAGAACCTATCAGGTCGAAGACCTTTAAAACGCTGAACGGTGCCAAGGGTTCGTCTTCGTGGTAAGGAAAGGGAATTATTCAATTCGTATGGCAAAGAATATTCCGCGAAGCTGTGGTGCGCTGAAGACGATGACGTGGACGGCCTACTCACCGTCGGATGCGGCCAGTATTGGATTAGGAGGAGCCGGAAGTCGGCACGCGGTGCGTGGCAAATGAAATAAGAGGAAAGAGAACACGTGCGTTTCGAATAGGACGCGTGACCGATACGCTGTTCAAATTGGAGAGATTTTGGGATACGATTGTTCCGGAAAGCGGGAATTTGCCGCTATATTGCAGGATTTCGAGCCCACCTCAGCACATGCCCAACACAACCGGTTTCAATATCTCTGCAGAATAGATTATGGGCCTCACATCTTCCGGCCCAGTTTCATTGGGCCAATACTTAAGCCCGAAACGTTGGGCCTTGCTTTGGTCCAACCTCACACATATGGTAGATTTTCTTCTGCATAATTATAGTAAATCTTATAGGCAACAGGCTTTCAATATATTACCTTTTTTATTCTGAGTGAATTTTAAATATGTTGTCCAACCTAAACATTGTTTTTTTTATACAACAAGTGGGAGTGGGAAATTCGAACTCACACCCTCATGATCGAAGATACATGGGCTGAAGCCCATGTTGGCGTCAAGCTGAACATTGTTGAGGCACCTAAAAAAATTGTGTAAATTTTTAATTATTTATTATTATAAAAATATATTCTTCTCCCCCATTTTCACCCACAGCTTGAGCTCCATGCTTTTTCTCTACTTTTTGTTATCTCATACTTATTTTGCCTTTTTTTCTCTTTAATCTTGAAAGCATCTTAAAACATTATTCACATTTTTTGAGCATAAGATGTTTGTGTCCAATCCACGTTGTTATTATTATTATTATTATGCTTGTCTAGCAATTACCAAGTAATATGTATGGTAGTATTTATACTTGATATAACAATCCTTTTAAAATATCTCAATTTTCTTCTTTATTATATTGTTTCTTTTTCATAATTATTGGTATTCTTTGTTCTTAGATATTATTATAAAATCAAATCAAATTAAAAAATATATATGTATGTGTATATGTCCGCATGTGACACTAAATTAATTGATTTAACCCGTACCATGGTATAGAAGTTTATCTTACCAAACTTGGACGAGTGTCATTTTTAACTTAAAACAGGGGATTAATATTTGAAGTCATGGTCGGAGTTACCCCTAAAATATAATGTTGCTCCAAGGAATCCAAAATTGTAGGAAGGAGATGGATCAAACAATATAGTTCACAAACTAAGGACAACAAAACAACATAGAAACAAGCATAAATTGCTGTTTGATGAGAATGACATTCAAACTGTCACTACCAAAGGAAAGAAAGAAGAATAAAAGGGGGGAAAAAGAAAAGAAAAAGGGTATGTTTTATGAATTATGATTGAACATTAAAGCATGGAGGGGAATGGCTCAACTATCCTATCTACATATTCTCTCATCTTTATCCTCCCAGCTCTTCTTGTGTGCCTATATTCCCATCTGCTTGTCGCACACCACTTGTTTCTATGTAAATAACCATAAAACATTCATTTCTAAAAGAAAAAACATTTCTCTATCAACTAACTCCTACCTACCGGTAACTATTAAATTTTTTACTAATTGAAAATTGAAAGGTAGAGAAGAAACTTTTGCTATCTTTTAGAAAAAAAATATTTATCCTCTATAATGTTGATGTAAGATTGTTCCCAAGATGATACATCATCAGGGGATCCAAGGTAGACACTAGCTTGTGTTCTGGTAATAGAATATTGCAGTGATATGGTACTCAGCCACATACATTTCGAAGAAGTTAGTATATTGTTCGAGTTCATGTCGAATCGAGCTTAATTGAATGCGCAGAGATTGTGTAATTTTGAGAAAGCGGGAGCCAACCTTCATAGGTGGAGAGCATTGTGAAAGTATTCTTTTCGTCAGCAATCAAAAGATCCTATATTATCGAAATTTTATACAAGTCGGAGTTAAGCTGAGCTCTAATGTAAACTCTTTCATTTTCATCTGTTAGAAACAATAGACCAATGATATTATCTATTCTGGACATAAACCTCCGTGATTTTATTTTTAGTCTTACCTAAAGATCTATCTATACACAGATATTGTCTCACGAAATCTTCTCATTCTCTAATAATATAAGACTTTGATCTCATTCATTTCAACATCATCGATAACGCATGGCACACATTTTCCAGTGTTGTATTATGTAATGTGTTGGGATCGGAAACAAATAAGATACCCACCCATCTGCAGGCTGCAGGCACCCGGTCAAAGCCTCGGAATTTGGCTCCGCCGTGTCAGACTGCGAGTTTTGGTGGTGGGGCAGCACACGCACAACCACAACTCCAATCTCCAAACTCCAACTACTACAAAACCGTTTCTTTTTTTTCTCTAAACTACACTTGCTTTCAATTACTACTGACAAACCCACCTCCCCTCGCCGACATCTACCAAACCTAATTCCACCAATCATATTATTCCCATCGATTTTAAATTGAAGCTGGGGAGAGGGCATGCACAGCCACATGGGAGATGGCAGATGAAATGGAGGGGAGTGACTCATAGTGAAAGATGGGAGGTATGCGATCGTCTCTCCCACCATTTTCATCTCTAAAGGATAGTTCGGATGGTTTGGGGCCTTAAGGAATAACGTTGAGACCTTGAGTTCAAACCACATAAAACGCAACTTCCACCAAGTGATAACTGCTTGCATACATATGAGTATGGGAACAATGCACATACCTCAAGCATAAGATGAGAGAACGAAAAGGCATGCGGGAGTTTTTAAGTTTTGCTTGTCGAGGTCTTTGAATTAATTATGAATCCACTAACACTCCCAGCGTCACCTAAAACTTGAAAGGCAATTGCTTGCTTTTTGCTAGTTCTGTCACTTCTATGCCGCTGTTGCATATTCATCCATCACATGGGGTATCACACAGGGTGTGGGGTCGCTTTTTGCTTAATCATATGGCCCAAGATTTCTTGTGTGCCAATTCCCTACAACCTCTCCTTTTGCTTACTGATCTACAACACATTCCACTCCTACCGTTCCAACAAAAATGTTTATTTATTTATTTATTTATTTATTTATTTTTGCTTTATACACACAAGGAAAGAAAAAATCAATTTATACCCCAAAATTTGGAGTAGTCAATTTACATCTTTTGTTATAGGATTGCCTTTGAAAATTGTGAAGGCATGATTATTAGTGGCAGATCCATGCTGAATCTAAGGATCCAATCCCACTTCCATCAATTTTTTATCTTTTCTTTCCCTATTTTTCTCTCCCTATTTTTCTCTCGATGAAATTGGCTCTCAACTCCTTGATTCCAACGTTCCCCTGTCTACTCATATACATGTGAGAGTTTTACACTAACTATTTTCTCTCCAATAATACTGTTCACTTTATGCATAATTCTCACACGGTTTTCTTTTGATTTCACTCATCTATATAACCAATAACCACGATCTTCTTATTTAATCAATGTAGGATATTTTGACAGCATTCTTAATAAATGGGAAGAGAAAAGAAAAAAAAAACTAAACATCCCATCAGTGTTGTTACGATGACGTGGCATGAAAAGTTTTATTGTTTGTAAATTTGAAAACATGGTTACATCATCCATGATCTTTTTTTTTTTTAATAATATCATCCTATCTGTGAATTTTGAATATGTATAATTGTGGTGGTCTGCCACACCAAACATCTAATAAACTATTAGAGCAATGTAAAAAGAAAAAAAAAAGTTCAAAATAATTTAGGGCATATTTGATAATTTTCACATGGGATAATTTACTTAAAAATTTTTCTTGAACTCAAAGGTTGAAAGCCTTACAATTACATTTGTGGTAAAAAAAATTATTATAAAATTGATACTTCATTCAAGAGCCCTACAAAAAAAAAATAATAATAATAAAGAAAAAAAGGTACGTATTTGAAAATATAGTTTTGATCAAAATGACGGGTACTTAAACTTTGTACTATGAAAGGTCTCTTCAAATATATTGGAAAAGAAAATTAAATTTAGTGCTGTGATGTTTAAGAAAAAAATAGTACGCTTCGAGACTCAACTATTAATAATCATAGGGCTTCACCTTAAAATCAATTGGCAATGAGAGTTTTATGTATATTATAAATTTTTGTCCGCTCTCTTATATTTTAAATGTGAGATCTTTAACATGTCCTCTCAAAATTGTGACTCTTTTTAGTTCACCAATCTCGGTGAGATCTCATTTCGAACTAAATGCTCGTTTGAATTTTTTAAATTCTAATACCATATTAATATTCATGGGCTACAAGATCACACATCTTTTCAATTTGAGATTCTTAACATCAACTAATGATGGGTCATGAATAAATTTGAAAAGGACGAGCTTAGAACAACAAATCAACGTAGCATCAACCCACATGAAAACTCAAGCTAGTGACAGGCTGATCGTGAAGGGCCTCACCCTAGTCTGTCCCCCCAACCATTAATACGTTTTGTATGGATAAAATTCAATTGTCTCCTCAATAGGGGAGACCACTATAAAGCGCAAAGGAACCAAATCACCATACCAGTTACAAGAGATTCTCACCCAACTAAACTTAGCCTTCTCTAATCCATGTTTTAACTTAGGCATTCCACAGCGTAATACTGCAAGATTCCTCTTTTTAGTACAGGTCGATAAATGATTGTGTTCAAGAAACTTCCAACCACCCCTCTTGTGGGAATCAGTACACATCAACATATCGTAAGAAAAAAAAATAAAAAATCTTAGAATGGATGGGAATTTTATGAAATGGGTGAAGTGAACCCCAGAAGAAAAACAGGTTGGCGGGTAGCCCAGGCCCAGCGGTGGGGTTGTGGAAAAGGAAATTATGATGAGAATAATGGAATCAAAATGAAATGAATATTGGGAATCTGGGATAGGGTCATTTCGTTGCAGTGGTTGGAGGAAACAAATTGCATGTGGAATTCCCATATAATTTCAGCTCTCTGCAGCAAATATCAGATTATTAGCTGCCTCTTCAACTCCTTCTGGTACTGTGTATAATTTTCACTCTCAGGCAAATTTCTTTTAATATTCTATATCTATTTTGATAAATTTAGACCAAGAAAATAAAGATAAGAGTCCAAAAAATGGTTGAGAGTTTTATCAAATGAAATTGTACCTATAACAACTTGTTTATACTAAACAAATATAAGAAGTGATATAAACCCAAATTAGAATACCAAATAAACCTATAAAAGCTTTGTATGAATTGTGATTTTATATGATCTCTACCATTAATTGCATTAGCATTGACTAAATGATAACATGAAATATATGTGACAAATGTGTATAGTTAGATAAGATAAAGTAGTACTAAGGACATCATATCTTCTCTTTGAATATATTAAATACTTTTTTAGAATGTGTCACTTCATTTTATATATCCGTCCAATTTCTTTTAGTATATCATGTCATGCTTAAATTAATTGATGTGCTCCATCGACAAATTGTCACATTCTTTTTAATGGTGTTTAACCATAATAATTATATAGATACACACCAATTCTTTTGAGACTAAACAAACACCATCATCTAATTCATTAATTCATGCAGTATAATTATAATTTAACCAAATAATCTTTTTACCGATCACAAATGGTAAAAAAGTGAGTTATGTTACAAATATGGATTGCGATAGACAATGAGACAGACTAGAAAATGAATGATTTATGTCTCGGCCTCATATATTGAGAAATGCAAAAACAAACCAATTATAATTTCAAATTTAGCAATGCCTATGCATTAAAAACATGGTTGGAATTATGTGCTCAACGGGAAGAATAAATAATGCATAATTTATGTTAAATGTGTGGGAGGACCGAGGAGTAGTTGAAGAATTTGAAGTTGGGACAGCCACCAAAAGAGATTTTTACCCATGTTATACTCTAAATTAAAACTCCTTCAAAATACTAAAATATAGATATTACAATATGTTCCTAAATTTTCAATTTTCAATTTTGTATTTGATGGATCCATCTTTTCAATAATTTTAAAATAGAAAAGATTAAATTGTAATTGTATCTTTATTTTCAAATAATAAATAGGAAAATATTGAGCTGAACATTAGTATTGTATTGTATTGAGAAGAATTAGAAAAATGTTTGCGAGCAATATTCCAGGCCAATAAAATTAAAATTATTGGGTGGCAGATCCATGACAGAAATTAACAATAGAAAAAAATAATAATAATAATAAATGATCTTTAAATTTGGGCAACCCGATGCGACAAACCAGTATTTTTCTTCCCGTTGGGGTTGCTGAAGAACAGTTTGGTATTTCTCCGCACCACGTGTTTGGGGCTCTACTGATCCAAAGTCACACCAAATCAAAAAATTTTCCACAAATTATCGCTTTTCATTATTAAATTTAGACTTTAGATTTCATTCTTATTTCATCTTAATGTTTATATTTTTACTAAATATATAATTTGGTCTGTTATCAATATCAATTTTTATAGAAATTACAATTTCATTATTGAATTTTTTGACCAAATTTTTACTTTGCAAAACACTTACATTCATTTTTTAAATGAAAAAAAAAGTGATGTCAAAATATATGTAGTTAAAAATCAACCAAAAATAATTCAGCATATATTATTAACGTATAAAAAAAAGGTTTTATATAGAGTCACCTACTAAATACTTGAGAAAACTAATCATAACATGTATTTTAATCTCATGAAATAGACATATTTATTCTTGTAAATATATATATATATATATATATATATATATAGTTTTTATTCAACGTGATTATGTTTTGGATTAGATTTTCTTGAAAAATAAATCTTTGTATTATAATTCAATAAATAAATGGATTAAACAATTTGTATTACACAAGGAACGTGTAGTTTTTTCTTTTTTATAAGACCACAGTAGTTAATTGTAAAATCTCAAGAATAAGATTGAATATTTTCAAAATATAACATTAAAGTAGGACAGATTCAAAATATGATTTAAATATTAGTTTATTTTTATAAAATTATTCTCAGATATTTAAAATATTCAGATGCTTGAATTAAAAATTTTCCTTTTTTTAATGATCGTTACCAGAATGAAAAATCCAAAAAAGAAATACATTCATTTTAAAATATAATTTAAATGCTTTATTATTTATTATATTAGAAAGTGGATGATAAGGGACAAAAAGCTATGGAAGAGAGATTAAAATTTTGAATATCAGTGGGTAGCAAATGGGTATCATTCAGGCTTGTGGGCCAACTTTGGAGTTCCCCAATGATTCGTTGTTCCTTAATTTCTTTTTATTAATTAAGTCCCATAAATAAATAAATCAGTAATTCAGCATCTAAATAATATTATCATTAGAGCATTCCCTTAATTTAATTAAGAAAAAATAACTCACATTTTCATCATATGTACTGTAGGTTTAACTTTTCGAATGGGTTTATTTTTATTAAATTGAACTCCAAATGAAAATAATTATAATAATCATCATAAAAATACTTAGGTTGATGGGGTATGAACGAAAAAAAATAAAAAATTAACTCATAACTTGTCCGTTATCATGGTTATTGGGCTCTTTGGATCATGTGTTATCATTAAAAAAAGAAAAAGCTCAATTTAAAATTGTCTTCCACGGTAGTTAAAAACTCGAACCTAGAATCTAGTTCAACTGATTACGATATTTATATATGACTAAAAAGTCCATCATTCCCATATATTGTACTTAAAAAAACGTTCATAGAGAACAATAAGATTTCAATTTTATTTTGACACGAACCATATTTCTTACCTGCAATTATTGGACTAAAAAAAAGAATTAACAATTTTTTTAGTATAAATCCAGGAAGATTTGAACTCATAATCAAACTCTATTCATTGCTTTTTTTTTTCTCTAAATTGAGATAGTGATGTCATTAAAAATACTGGAGAAATAAAAGCCATAAAAAACAATTAACACGATGAATTAGAACCTCGTTTTATTTTTTATTGTTCGATGTTGATTTTGATATAATAATATGAAAGAAAAATACTAAATTTTTTCATGACGAGATCATGATGTTCCTTGTTTGCTAGTTATTATTTCATACATGAGTGGACAATTTAAAAAATGTACCATTAAATGATAATATTAAATTTATGGCAAAATACATTTTTATCCCTCAGGTTTCAAAATGAACACTTTTGTTCTCTAAAGTTTCAAAATAAACACTTTTAATCCTTGAGGTTTAAAGTAAGTGTCAATTTGATCCGTTTAAAATAAACATTTTTGGTCTCTGAAGTTTGAGAAATCGTTTTAAATGGTTTCTGATTTATTTTACTGTTAATTAACTAATATTAAACGACATGACAAATTGCAATTAAATTGTTTATTGTAGTTGTTGATGTGATAAATTATATTAATTAAATAACACCTATTTCAAGCCTCGGGAACCAAAAGCGTTTATTAGATACTACCACAAATCTCATGACCAAAACTTTATTTTGCCATTAAATTTATAAAGTACTTGGAAACTCTTGCCAACTAATCCATCTAAATGCAAACAAATTCTATAAAATAAGAGATCTTCATTTTTCTTTTGATATTTCGACCTTTTAATTATTATTAATCAAACTATTTGTTGCTAAGGTAATAAAGAGAAAATATTGGCATTATCTTATGATTGACCACCATCATTTGCTTTTCTCCATCTTAAATTAAATCCAATTATTGATTTTGTTTTCCAAATATACCCTAGGAGTTTTGATGCACACGTGGGTTGAGATATTTCGATGCTAATCTTCTAATTGCTACTTTTGAGCCATGTATTAGAAAGAATAATGGGTAAAAATGTCTTTACACCTTTTCCAAAATTTAAAAGCTAGATTCATATTCATTCACCTTTTTTCCCGAGTCGATCTATTTTTGGAAAGGGAGAGGGGAGGGAAAATAAAAGGGTATACTAGTAATTTTGTGGGGTAGAAAATTTAAGAGGTTTCCCTAAATTACACAAAATGTCCTTGGTTTCAATTTTACTCCCAATGTCTATAAGATTTCAATTATGCCATCAGTGTTTAAATTTGTTTCAAAGAACCTTTTAAATATCTAACAAATAAATTTGAACATTTTGCAACATTTAGGGCACAATTGGAATGGATATGTTAAGTAGCATTTATTTGATTTCACTTTTAACCCCTCACCCAAGTATTTGGTTCAATCTCATTTTCACTTCGATTAAGTGAAATTGAAACTCATACAATTTCAAACAAAATTAAAAAACCAACTATATAACTCATTGTAATTTCATATAAGGTTAAATTACAAGTTTAGACGATGAATTTTCAAGTTTGTGTTTAATAAGTCTTTGAATTTTAAAAATGTCTAACAGGTCACTAAATTTTCAATTTTGTATCTAATACATCCATATCATATTAAAAAATTTTAAAATTTGTGAATATATTAGTCACAAAATAGAACCTTAAACTTTTAATTTTTATGTCTAATAAATTTGTGAAGTTTGAAAAATATTGATTACATCAAGAATATATTACATACAAATTTCAAAATTCAAAAGCTTATTAAACACAAAATTAAAAGATTTAAGGAACTGTTACACTTTTTAACATACAAAGATCTATTAAACATAAAATTAAAACTTTAGAGATCTATTAAACAAATCTTACATACTATACTTATAATTTAACATTTATGTAATTTAGCCTCAATTTAATTAACCCAAAGTGTTCATTTAGATTAAAAAAAAAGAGTAAAAATGAAAGTAATAATTGCAAAAGTACGATAATGGTCATACGGCTCTTCAAAACAGTACGCTGGTGGTGTTTCTTGTAATAATGACGTGGCGAGATTTGACTGGCCATTGAACCGAAGTTGGCGCTGCGAGTGCAAGGCTTCTAAATTAAATACCATTAAATAAATAAATAAACAAATACGAAAAAAGAAAAATGGGGGTAAAAAGTATTGGGTGCGGTTACAGAATACAGAAAGTACTTGCTTCTGGTACGGTACCAGCCAATAGTATTAATAAGAGTGGCAGTGAGAGATCTCATCCGTGATTGGTGCGTGTACTCCACTCGCGTATATTCAAACAGTCCAATCCGAGCCGGCAACCCCAAAACAAGCTCTGCTTCTTCTTCGGTCAAATTTCAGTCTTCCTTCAAAACCCAACAACTATTCTCTCTCCTCTCTCTAAAATTCTCTCCCAAGCAAAACACTTTCTAAAATCTCGCCACGTTCTAAGTAAACCCAGATTCGGCTTTTTTCTTTTCTGGTTCTGTAACTGCTGGAGAACACCCTCCCCCATCATCCCCACTTCCCCCTGTTCTCGGTTCCTGGTTCTGGGTTTTCGCAGTTTCCTTATAATCGGATCCCCTCTTGAATGTAGAGAAGAAAAAAGCATCCATTCTTGTAAAAATGGACGATGTTGATGTGGATGTCGTAATCCCGAGTCTAACCTGTTTGGATGGGGAGATTGTGGAAGAAGAAGAACAGACATTCATCGGAATTGGGAATCAGAGCGAAGCAGAGGATGATTATGTGGATACATTATTGGCGAAGGAGACGAGTTTTGGGTTCAGAAAAGAGAAATCTTTGGTGTTCGGGAACTGGGTCAGATGTGCCCGTTTGGAAGCCATTGCATGGATTCTCAAAGTCGGTTCTTTTTTCTTCATTTTTTTTTTGTTGGGTTTGATTCATTTGGGATTCGATTCAATTAATTAATCAATTGTTCTAATTTTGCAGACCAGGGAAGTGTTTGGATTCGGTTTTCAGACGGCTTATCTTTCAATGATATACTTCGATCGGTTCCTCTCGCGGCGGGCCATTATTGTAAGGCTCCAGTTTCCATTTCCTCTGGCAATGGCTTCTTAATTTGCTTTCTTAATCCCAAATTCCATCGCTGCAGAATGAGAAGCTGTGGGCAATTAGACTCCTGGCGGTGGCCTGTCTTTCATTGGCGGCGAAAATGGAGGAATTGAAGGTTCCGGCACTGTCGGAATTTCCGGTGGAAGATTTCAGCTTTGAAAGTAAAGTAATACAAAGAATGGAGCTTCTGGTGTTGAATACATTGGAGTGGAAGATGGGTTCAACAACTCCATTCTCCTTCATTCCTTATTTCATTTCTAAATTATCCATTGAATCCCCACCAAGCAATAAGGTTTCTCAGATTGTTGAACTCATCTGGGTCATGATTAGAGGTAATTTCTCTTAACCCATTCCATCAATTTCATCGAATTTGTTCATCATCACATTCGAATCTTGAATGCAGAAAGGAGTACAGAGGACCACAGGCCTTCTGTAATAGCAGCAGCCGCAGCCATTTTGGCGGCAATGGATGACAGATTAACAAGGAAAGCCTTGGAGCTGAAGATGAATTCCATTTCACAATGTAGATTTCTCGAAGTAGTAAGTTCCATTGAGAAATTGGGGATTTGGGGTTTTTGATTAATTGAATTGATTGTTGGATGAAGTGTTCTGTTCTTCTTTCTGTGTCCAAATTTGCTCCACAGGAAGATGTGATTTCATGTTACAATCTGATGCAAGAGCTCAGATTGGAGAGATGTAGAGAAGAAGCAGAGTGTTTAAAATCGCCAGATTTATCACCCACCCAAATGAAATCAATGGATTGTTCGGAAAATTCTTCAGTAACATCCACGATTGCCTCCAAAAGGAAACGGCTAAACTTCAGTAACTGTGATGAAAAAAAGTATGGTGTGGCTGAAGGGGAAGCGGCCCCGGTAGAGGGAAAAAGATGAGGAATGTTTTTTTTCTTTTTTCCCTTATTTTTTCCTTCTCACAAATGACTTGTGGTGATAATTAGGGGTTTTGATGGTGGGGGGTTTTATGATTACAATAATTGCTTGATTTGTTGGTTTATTGATCAAGTTCTCTCAGAAAACAACCAAATGATGGAAGAAACAGTGGTAGAAAGAATAGAGAAAAATAATTTAAAAGAAAAGAAAAAGGTTAGATTTATTGGGGTGAATGTAAAAATAGAAAAAAGTGAAAAGAGAAGAAGAAAAGCTGATTCTGATTTGTATTAGGCCAAAGCCAAGGGGGGAGGGAGGGCTTCAAACAAAGCTGTTTTATAATGGGGCTGGATTTTTTTATTTTTTATTTTTATTTTTGAGGTGTCTGCAAAACCCTAGCTTTAAATGGGATGCTTTCTTTTGGTGTCTTTGAAAAGGCTGTAAGAAAGTTGAAGTGAAAGAAGAGGCACTGGGGGGTGTGGGGGAAGAGTGTTGAAAAGAGCTGAGGAGTGATGGGCAAGCTCTGTGACTGTGTTATTGTGATTTGATGCATTTTTTTGCTTCATTTTAGCCTTCAAAAATGTTTCTTTTTAAAAGGTGAGAACGATTGGATATGTTTGAATGTTTGGGGCAAAGCCTTTTCAGGTGGGGCCGACCTCTTTTTCCCTGTATACAAAGGGAAAAAATTGAACTCCAGGCTACTTTCTTTTTCTTTGTTTGTGTGTGTTATTTTTCTTTTTTTTTTTATTAAACTTCAATGAAATTGATTTTTTTGCCACACATCATGTGTATTCACTATGTAATTGCTTAAACAAACCAAAAAGTCTAGCATAAAAGTCCATATCCAATGAAGATGGATAGATTGGAACCATCAACGTAAAAGCCAATTTCTTCTTTGGCTTTTACCAAAGGATAAACATCCCACACCGTGGGGAAGCAATGGAAGTCAATTGAAAGATCAAACTAAAAACAAATTTACCCATTTACCGAGATAAAAGGTAAAAAACAGACTCCAGAGAGAGAGGAAGCAAACAAAAGGGAGTCGTTTCCATGGGAGGAGGCAAGGGGGAGATATGGTCAGATCAGGTTGACGTGCCATGAGATTGCCAGAGGATACTGTATGCAGTTATCAGTAGAATTGTTCTTTTGCTGAATGAGCTACAGGAATCCAAGCTGTGCAGTCAAACAAAAACAACCAAAAAAATAAATTTACTCCTACTACTATGGTAATTGGTACTTTCTCTTTGGCATAGGATGCCCTATTTCCTAGGGCAACTTGACACGTGGATTCCTCCTATTGGCTCTTTTTAGAAACTGCCCATCAAAAGCCAGTGTAATTTTTCCACCTCAACTTTTGCACCCATATTTTATCCAACAATGGCTAAGTGATTCACAAGCTAACTTGGTCTGCTGCAATCTTTTTCTTCAACATAGAATAAAGACAGCGATGCCAAAGGACTTTTTGTAAGGTGGGGGGAGTTGATACCATACCATGGAGAAATTTCAGATATGATATG